CCTGTGGCGCAGCGCGCGAAGTCAATGCTTCGGATATCAATGGCTCTCCGGGTATCAATGGCTCTAAAGTTTTTCCATGCAACACTTCATCTGCAGTGAAAACACCTGTAACGAAAAGCTCTCCTTTTCCTAGAGCTTGTGTGGAATGACGCTTAGGCGTGTGTGCATTACTGCTCACGTCTGATGTCATCGCAACATGGCAGATCTCTTCCTCCACTGTATTTGTCTTGTAGATGTTTTCACATCACTCGGTCCTAAAGACATCGTAGCAAAGCCACACGCTTGTCCTTGAACTACACCCTTCACTGTCAGCTTCGATGCATCCTATAACTTTATGGACGTCAACTTCGATACCTCCTTGAACTTTATGAACGTCAGCTTCGATGACTCCTTCAACTTTATGGATGTAACAGCTTCACGGCAAGCATGCATGAATGACGTGTATTCATTATCTTCAAACAGACCTGGCACTTCACCAGAAGCAAGTAGAGCATTCATACGCTTCAAGAAAGCGGAATCGAGAACATTTGACTCGTCACAGATAAAACAAATCTGTTCAGCTTCGCAACCACATCTTCTAAGTACAACCCGAAGGTCATCATCAAAGTTATCCGGAGTATAATTCGACGTCAGCTTGATCTGGAACACAGACATGCCGTTCATCCAGCTTTCAAAGCGAGAAAGAACGGTCTTGCCTGCGCCACTTTCACCAAGAAGCAAAAAGTGGCCGAGCGGTTGACGAAGAACGCGATCAACGCGAAGATAATGGTCGATCACAGAATCAAATCCATCAGCGGAACGTTAAGTTCTTCCTTGTTGAAGACGCGCAAGCGGCTTCACCATGTTTACGGCAATCAGTCGTCGTGACTTTTGATAGTTCGTTGAGAGCCATGTACGAAAAAAATGTGGGTGTGACCACCAATTTCACCACCTTTAAAGCTGTAGCACTCTTAGAGAAACATTTCTTAGAGTCTTCATTACCATGTGGAAACACCACATTTTCTCTTCAGATGTCACCAAACGATCCATGAAAAGTCGTGATGCCTCATGATTGCCCAGTTTGACCAGCGTTTTAATATCTATTTCGTATTCCAATGGTTCAATGGCTTTGCACAGCGCACGCATTCATCTCGACAGATCTCGGGGACTGTAGATGTAATGTGGTTGCATCTTTGCTGTGTATTTCTTCTGGTTGCTATCGTACACGTCTATCACCGCATCAGTAAGCGGTTGCACATACGATCGAAGAGATGAGGTAGGCTTTAGCAGAGCACGGTTGAATTTTCCATAAATCTTTTTGAGTGAAGGATAGGACGAGAAATCAACCAAAAGAATAGACGCATGGAGCAATAGACGCATTGAAATCGGCACGCGAACAAGATATGTTTGTGGGTTGCAAGCACCAACAAACTGAATACGCTCCCCCGACCCATTTGTTCTTACCGCCTAAATGGAAGCCACCTTGCTCGATTAATTGCATTAAGAACGTGATCACGCATTGTGTTCCGTATATGTCAGCCTCGACAAAACTGATTTCGTCGCAAAATGCAACCCGCCATTTCTCTGGTGCAATTCGGTGCCAGCAACCTTCCATTGGGAGTACGTTTGTACTCACAATACTGAGAGAATGTCCTCAAAATAAGCTCAGGTAAAGTTCCAGATGAGGAATTGAGGCTTGAAAATTCAAACTCGGGAAGTGAGTTAATCGTCGAGAACAGAGTCATCGTCTTACCACTGCGGGGGGGCCACAACGAATGAGCGTCCGATGTTGGAAAAGCCACCCTCGAAGTACTTTGACATGATGAACCGTATCTATCGTGGTTACAACAACATCAGTCGACAGCACCGGGTGACTTTCAAGATCCAGTTGTGGAATTGAATCGTAATCACTGGCGCCGTTATCCATCATTGATATTAACTTCGTACTCGAGCAGAGTGTTGCCCGGCGACCCGGACAAAGGACCCTCCAAGCGGTTTTCGAGCGTTTGCACAACAAAATTGCAGAGTTCGATGCGATAGAAAGAGTACCGAACCCCAGAGAATCGAAAATACAAATTACTTCGGTACAAAGTGGGAAATCAGTTCAGCTGTAATCGGAAAATCAGAATGACCTTTGTTGTACTTGTTGATGCGAGACAACCCCTTTCCAAGCAGCGTAAACATCGGCATTAGCAAACGCATCGCCGTGACTTTCATGATGTGCATTTGACCCATCGCACAAACCTCGATCAATGAGGGCATGTCACCTCCACGATCAATCCGATTTCGAAGGGTAACAACGTAAGTGATAAGCAGTATTTTTCAGGAGGCCGTGCCAATGCTCGAATTTCATCGAGCTGTGCCTTACGAATCGAGTTCAGAGACGCTTGGGTACCTAAAAGCGCAGGTTTGGCTTGAGCAAGGTCGGCCTCGACAACCTCTTTCCGCGAGCGTATCTGTTCGTCCTTGCTTGCACGATTAACAGCAAGTTCCTCTGTAACTATCTTTTTTTCTTGTGCCTCATTATGCGCCTGCACCATTTGCTGAAGCTTTTTCGTTTGCTTTCACGTCTTTTTTTAACTCCTTTTCTTTATGGCTAAGCTGACCTTGTAGCTCCACCACTTGCTCACGAGTAGTCTGCAATTTCTGCACGCCGACATTCAAGTGAAGTTGCTGATCCTCCACCTGGGCACGATTTTTGGAATATAGCCACACAAATTGGCATATGAAATTCGGATAGTCTCGAGGGAAATGTGGTTGTACTTCATATAACGCATGTGCAGCAAGACAGCGTGGTGGGACTGAGCAATACTTCCGACCATACATCATGGAACGCTCCTGTAGCAATATGCGGAACCAGTTTTGTCAGGGTTTCCACAGCATCATTTAGAAAAACGTAGTCGGTAGACCCAACAAGGTCCAGTGAGT